AATGTGTGTACATGCACGAAACTGCAAATTATCAATTGATTGTTTCGTCTCACGTGTCCACCTCTACCGAGCAAACCCTAGTTTTCTTCTTCTTGTTTTACTTAAAGTTAAAATCATTTCTTAACTTCCTTTTGTGTGCCAATTGAGAGTAACATCCAAATCCAAGAAAGCGTCAAGCATCTATCGAATAAACCAAAAACCATTGCTACAGTCCCACTACTTCATTACCTTTCTTCTATCGTTTTGATTGGTTACCAAAACCACAACACTTTTGCTCTCATCATACCGCTATCTATAACCTTTTCTTTTCCCCCTCTTTTTCAGTCCGCTTCTCCCAATTATAATTCTTTTCTCACAGTTTGAGGTATGTCATCTCCCTTAATTTTCTACGATACACGGCCCGAGTACTTTTTATACACAACCGACCTTTATAACTATGATTTAAATTAATGGTGACGCACAGGAATTGAGTTAGAAAGGAAACACAGGCTATGTACTTACAGTTCTTTATTTTTTTACAAATGAATAATTTCACAAAAGTCATTTAAGGCATCTACAACAAAACATGCATCTAACGTAGTAGGTCATGATATTGGATTCTTACTATTTTCATTTGAATGAGTTGCCATGAATATGATGAATCCATTACCAATGTATATAATCTCCATTTTGGACATAAGCAAGTCTTTAAATGGCTTCATCTCGGGCCTTATCCGGATCTCGAGATCCCCGGAATGTAAATCTTCAAGAGGGTATTTCCTCTTTCCGGGAAAGACAGATACAGGAGGAATTGGGGGATGCGAGACGTGCGGGTACCGACACGTTAAAATAATGAACGCATCCGTAGAGCTCGTCACACAGGTTGGGGACAAGCCACGAAAGCTCTTGTAGGAGCGAAAACTCTCTTATCTTGATAAGGTTACCTCTTAACTGAACACCAAGGATCCAAGAGAAGCCCATGGTTAAACACATATTCTCAAGTCGATTTGTGCTCAGATACATATTTCATCGGGCCCACCTACGTCTTGCAGTATTTAAGATGCATCACCGGCCAAAATCTTCCTTCCCTCCTGGTGTAAACGAATTCAACGTGTTATCGAAGAGCGAAGGCGATTTATGTTTTTATTCTTGTGGAAAAGGAGGAGGAACAAATTAAGTTCATGTGCATCACAACAAGGACTGAAACACGCCACAAAATGTCAAGCATGGTTGACCGCATGCACAGTGTAAATGCACAGTGTAATGTCTCCAGGAGCTGTGAACCTGTCGTTGCTTTGTCCTTTTTTAAACATCCATACTTCCCACGCAAAACCTTCTCTCTTTTGAAAATGATATGCACGTGCGAAGATTACCCTTTGTGACCGACGGAACAAAATCAAAATCAAAGGACATCTCGGTGCACTCTATGTGCAACTTTCCGCAAAACACTAATGCGAGTGAATTAAAGTTCATGGCGTGGTGAGTCAGATAACCATAATTTTTCCAACATCGCGCAGGACAATAGATTCGATGTTCGAACAACCTAACCGGCTTTTAGATGTTTCGTCTCTCACATGATTCGAAACAAGGTCGGTGGATGCTATTAGCCCTAGAAATCATCTATTTAAGATGGATTTTCTTGTCAATAGATGCGGATTTTAAGCCAGAGTTAACAATATCTCTACCTTCATGCAAAAAAAAAAGGGTAGAAATCCTACTTACATACCCAAGGTCCTATTACAATAGAGGAAACAAAATTCCTCTTGAATCTACATGGACTAATTGGACACGATGTGCCGACCAGCGGATCCCTCCATGCTTCTACAAGTCCTTTGTGTCAGTAAAAGTTCACATTTAACTGCTGCTTTCTTTCATTTTGGTCTTAAAGTTTGAATAAGATATTTGATGAGATAGATTTCTAAGGATTAATAACACATGTAAAACTGCCCGAGTTCATAGATTATATGATATTAGAAGATGAAATAACTACGGACCATAATAAAAATCTAAGAAGGAAAGCGAAAGTTATGGAATTTAGAGAACAGGCTTCATCTTGAACTTTTGTCTCCTCACGGATTCACGGGGAACCTCTTTTAGGAATAAGCAGTTCAGCGCATTTTGAGGCAGTCACGCTGTTGCTCTTGTTTCACAGCTCAAGAATGAAGTTAAGAGCGTACCTACTTTTGCAAATTGTTTCTTTTTTGTGCAACTTGATCATTTTCGCTACTATAGAAAGGCGGTCAACTTAAACAATCGGTAACACTAATTACAGCTCGACCGCGACGTTGTTTGAATATAAGAGCGAGTCGAGCCGCGGAGTCGTTGGTTATACTATGACCCGATGTGTTGTAACGTCCAAGTCTTGCTATCCTCGTGGTTGAAGCCGAACCCTCCAAGCTGGGAGGACCACGCGACTCTTTCAGAGTCCACTCTGTCTCTTTCTCTGCGTGTGGACTCCGAAAGAACTAAGAAAAAGACTGGGAATTTCCCTGCTTGCTTCTTGTTTCTCCGACTTCCACGAAGACCCACTTGTTGACGAATATGTATGGACAAGTCGAATACAATTTTGTAGAATTCTTGCTTTGTTTCTTGTGATTCCGGTGCACGGGTGCAGAGGCTCAGCTACCGAGAGGTCTATGAAGTACCCACGAGCCCCACGATGAAGACAGAGATCGTCTACCTGTTCCGCACGATGCTCCATTCGATGTCTCGACGGACCAAAAACCATCGATGGCAACCTCGTTTTCATGAGTTCATGAATGATGTTTTTCCTCGACACCCGCAACATACAACGCAAGGTAGAACATCCGGGTTTTCCCCATGAGACTTCAAGAGACTATAAAGACTCATTTTTCTAGTGTGTCTCGACCCATGTCACATGCGCACATGATAATAACGCGGATAACTAAATTTTTCAAAAGTTGAATGTTACACGAATATGTAAATCGAGATCTAGACTCGAGGGTCGAGACATGCTAAACGGAGCAGGAGATTCCTATCTGACTCGGTGTTTTTGCAGTTTACAATTTCTCGTATCTAATGCCATTGGTGCAACTCAATTTCTCCGCAAATACCGTTGGTCTATGAGGTATCTATAAGTCTTTCTTCTTTCTGTTCAACAACTTGCATAGAATTCTTGGCAACAAGTAAACATTGTTTTCTCCATTCTTGGTCTCCGCACTAGTTCATAACTACGCTACAGTTGTAAATTTTAGAACCGACAACGACTTCCTATGTTTCTTTATGACACTATGGACCCTCATGTTTCCAGTATTGTATTTTCTTTCCGCTACATGAAGCCGATAGGAAGCACTATAGCCAACTGATTTGATACTGCAGCCTTCCTGGGTATTTTCTGGAACACCCTTTTGTTTATTTACTCATTTTTCTCCTTTCTTTTTTGCCCTTTTGGCTGCTCGGATCTGGAGAAACTTTTTCGTGATTTGCCGGCCAAGGCTAGCAGCGCCACCAAGAAATAAACTAAAACAAAAGAAAGACCCGATTACTTATTGACCATAAGGGTCACCAAACGAAAGACTTGCTCAAAAGAAAGACAGAGCCCGCGCCAACCCACCCCCCCCCCCCCCCCTGTTCATATTGTCGTGCGTGATTCCTCTTCGCTTGTTTTTGTCCGGTAGCTGCGGCTTCGGCTCTTCTCACGTTACCTAGGGCGTTTGACTTTCCATTAAGAAAAGCATGCTGTGTCATCTGGATCCCCGAAATGATGTGCCTCCATAGTAACCAGGATTAGAAAATGGAGCACCCACCCAGTACAATGAGAACTGCAGACAGATTCAGGAAAAAGAAAAACTAAAGTTTTCCGATCTTGAATCCCCCTGTTCATTGGAATATCGCGTTCACTCATTCCTCCATCGTCGATTAACAATGCAACAGGACCGCAAGTGGAACGTCAGTGACGTTGTGCTTCCATATGAACAAGTTATGCCAACTTCTCTAACCGAGTTCGTTCTGATCTCTATGTTGCAACCATCGGGTGTGAGCATGATTTAAGGAGATCAGAAGGCCACATAATGAGAAAGAGGAGCATACGGGAGGGGGAAAGACTTGCCCAAGGATGGGCTCAGCTTGCAGCCACAGCACGTGCCCGTGATTCTGGCCCTTAATCTGTTTCAAATGCGATGTATCCTAGACGAAGTACATCTAAATGCGTTTTCTTTTTTTTTCCTTCGTTTCAATATTGAATAATTCTACATAGCAAGCTTCATTGACACATAACAATATGAGAGTGGAAATAGCAAATAATTATAAAAGGAACCATGAGCTTATAGTGCATGATATCATGTAGAACACCTTTCAAGTCCCATGACTGGTTAAGTTTAGACCTTTGGTCTGTGCATGTGACCCAAACTCGGAGCAGTTTATATGTAACAAAAATTTAAACAATCCAAGTTGGGTGTCAAGAATTTCCATCCCCCCACCCCTTATAAAAAAGAAACTGTGAGCTTATTGTGCATGATCTCATGTAGAACGCATTTCAAGTCCCATGAACGATTAAGTTTAGGCCTTTGGTATGTGCATGTGACCCTAACTCGGAGTAGTTTATACGTAATAAAGATTTAAATAATCCAAGTCAAGTGTCGGGGATTCCCCCCGACTCTAGGGGTTTTACGAACCGGGTTGGCTAGGAGTATCTAGCTAGATCGATCGTCTTCTGGACCTCACGTTAGATCCGTGTGATCAATCTTAATTACAAGTGATGTAAAGATGGTGACGTATTTTTTACTAAACAATAAAGAAATGAGAGGCGCGGGTTACGGTGGTTGGGCTCGAGTCAAGCAGCCTAAACACGAAGTGTGAAAACTCCCCAAGAAGAAAATTCAGAAAAGAGGGACAAGGTCAACAGCGCTCTTCTTCGTCAAACTCGCAATGTCTCCGCAGCTGCTCCGTTAACTTCCACGATTTTCCCCCACTCTCTCTCTCTCTCTCTCTCTCCCTCTCTCTCTCTCTTCCCAAAAGTATTTGTCTATATAAACTCACCTCCCCCTCTCAAAAACCACACGCTCTCTCCAATCATCTCTCTCTCTCTCTCTCTCTCACACGCTTCAACAATGGATTGTCTCCCAAAATGCGGTGCGAACTTTGTGTCGCTCACCCCCCTCACTTTCCTGAAGAGGGCGGCCTCCGTCTACGCCGATCGCACGTCGGTCGTTTACGAGTCGACCCGCTTCACCTGGGGCCGGACATACGAGCGGTGTCTCCGTCTTGCCTCCTCCCTCCGCTCGCTCAATGTCGTCAAGAACGACGTGGTACGTATACCCTTTCGGACTGATTAAGCGCCTCCTCGTGCTTTCGAATTCGGGAAAAATATGACATAGCATTTAGCTCTTGAGCTTGTCCTCAGCACGACCACATCAGTAGAACGAGTGACATGAGTGGTTAAATTAGCACATCGTAAACGAGTTTGTTCCAAAGCTCTTTACAAGCCAGTTTTAGGATAACTTCTTTTTTTCTTTTTTTCTTTTTTTTTGGTTCTTGATAAGACGAAATATGCAACTTTTAAATATAGAACTAGGATGCTGACACGTGGATCTGCTTTATATGAGTAAAGCATATATGACCGCATTGAATAGATTCACTTTACTCTTGATTTAAAAAAAAAAGGGGTCTGGAATAACTCGATGCATGTCCTTATGTGCACATGCAGGTGTCTGTCCTGGCGCCCAACGTACCGGCCATGTACGAGGTCCACTTCGCCGTTCCGATGGCCGGCGCCATCCTCAACACCATCAACACCCGCCTCAACGCTGCCAACATCGCCACCATCCTCGTCCATTCCGGCGCCAAGGTCTTCCTCGTCGACTGCGAGTTCCTGCCGCTCGCCTGTGAGGCCCTCGCGATCCTCGCAGCCACTGGGTCCCGCGCCGGCCCCCGGGTCGTCGTCATCGACGACCTCAACTCACCTACCGGGGCCCGGCTTGGGGAGCTGGAGTACGAGGAGCTGGTCCTGCGGGGCGACCCGGCCTATGTTCCGGAGGAGGTCCGAGACGAATGGGACCCAATCGCCCTGAACTACACGTCCGGGACAACCTCGGCGCCCAAGGGGGTGGTGTACAGCCACCGGGGCGCGTACCTGAGCACCCTCAGCCTGATCCTCGGGTGGGAGATGCGGAGCGAGCCGGTGTATCTCTGGTCGCTGCCGATGTTCCACTGCAATGGGTGGACCTTCACGTGGGGTATCGCTGCCCGTGGCGGCACCAATGTGTGCCTCCGGAACGCCACCGCACCCAACATGTACCGGAACATCGCGGCGGAAGGTGTCACCCACATGTGCTGCGCCCCCATCATCTTCAACATCCTCCTGGAGGCCAAGCCCCATGAGCGCCGTGAGATCGCCGCCCCCGTGGAGGTCCTCACCGGCGGTGCCCCCCCGCCGGCGGCGCTGCTCCAGAAGGTGGAGTCGCTCGGGTTCCATGTCACCCACGCGTATGGGCTCACGGAGGCCACCGGACCGGCCCTCGTCTGCGAGTGGCAAGCCAGGTGGAACCGCCTGCCTGCGGCAGAGCAGGCGGAGCTCAAGGCCCGTCAGGGGATCAGCATACTGACGCTTGCCGATGTAGACGTCAAGCACTCGGAGACGATGAGGAGTGTCCCGCGTGACGGGAAGACCATGGGGGAGATCGTCCTCCGCGGGAGCAGCATCATGAAGGGATACTACAAGGACCCAGAGGCAACATCCAAGGCCTTCCGGGACGGGTGGTTTTTCACCGGAGACGTCGGCGTCGTCCACCCGGACGGTTACATGCAGATCAAGGACCGGTCGAAGGACGTGATAATCTCTGGCGGTGAGAACATAAGCAGCGTGGAGGTCGAGAGCGTGCTGTACCGGCACCCCCGGGTCCTGGAGGCAGCGGTGGTGGCGATGCCACACCCGCGGTGGGGGGAGAGCCCGTGCGCCTTTGTCACCGCCAAGAAGAATTCTGCCGGGAAAACGGACGACGTGAAGGAGGCGGAGATCATATCCTATTGCCGGAAGAACCTACCGCACTTCATGGTGCCGAAGAAGGTGGAGTTCATGGCGGAGCTGCCCAAGAATCCCACCGGAAAAGTACTCAAGACTCAGCTGAGGGCTGTGGCGAAGAACTTCGTCGTGTCGGAGAATAATAACGGCCCGTCCTCGTCCGACAAGAAGACGTCCAAGGAAGTCGCGATGACGAATTCGTCGCGATACGATCCCGGGACGCAAGAGCAACAGGTTCTTGCGTTGTCTCGCCTTTGAAGGGATATGAGGGAGACGTCGTCGTTTGGTCCTTGCGATGTCGAGTTGAGATTCGAATAAACACATGTACAGAGAAAAGAGAGAAGGAAGGGAGCGAGCGAGCGAGCGACAGCTTCTTCTTTTTTATTTTTCCCTTAGCAGTAATTTGAGTGAGACAAGTGGCTGGTTTTTCTTTCATTTACGTACAATTTACAAGATATCTGTAAACATTGAAGCTTTTCTCAATCGCCATTAATAGAAAAAAACGTTGTTAATCGAGATACTCCAGTTCTAACTCGACCGTCTAAACTTGTTTATATGCGTCAGATCCGATGCACCTAATTCTGAGGCGTTTCTATTTTGCAAAAGACATGCCAGATCCTATCGATTGAAATGCTAAGATGCTCGAACTCGACTCGATAAGCTACTCGAATAGCTCGAACTCGAGCTGTGCTGAAATTCGGCCAAGTCGATCTTGAATTTCAATGGAGTCGAGCCCGGAACGAACCGTGCGTAACACGACTCATCCCGCATCTCATGTTATCTACTCCCTCACTATATTCTCAGGTCCTCTCATGTATGCGCACACGTATTCCTTTACTTTATCTGAGCACGACGATTTCTCTACTAAGCCAGACAGGGCCGATGCATAAAGAAGACCTTCTCGTACCATCAAAGGATGTTTTATAATGACAATCGCTTCCAAAACGAGAATCATTCTCACTGATCTCCATTGTTTATCTGTCTTCTGCTTTTGTATAGGTAATAAGGTGGGGAAGATATCCCCCACTCGAGGGCCAGAAAAAGTAATAGAAAAGTCATAAACTTATTGTGCTTATGCCAACTGAGTTCTAAATATTTCAATTGTACCAATTTAGTCCTAAACATTTTCACATTTTGCCAATTGAGTCCATCAAGTCAATTTTGACCTGAAATTGTTGACGTGAACGTCAGCTGTCTTACATCGTACGGCCGGCGCTAATGTAGACATTTTCTAAAAAAAACTCTGAATTTTTTATTACTTTTTTTCTTTTTATAATAATATTTTTTTGAATTTTTTTGTTATTTTTTCTTTTCTTTTTTTTTGGACTAAGGGCCGGCACCGGCTATTGGCGAGAGCCGAGACACTCTCGCCATCCACAGGCAAGGGTTGGCACGCCTTAGCTGGATCTGGGCGAAGGGTCACGCGCCCTCACTGGCCAGTCCAAAAATAATAATAAAGAAAATAAAATAAAAAACAAAAAAATCAAAATATAATTAAAAAAATGTCATCATCAGCATGGGCCACACCACGTAGGATAGCCAACGTCCATATAAACGATTTCGAGCCAAAATTGGCTGGATGGACCCAAAAAAGCAAAAAAAAAAAAAAAAGAAGGAAAAGGGAAAAATTAAAAATTAAAAAAAATTAAAACTTGATTTTTTAAAAAATTAAAAAATATAAAAATAAAATTTGTTATATGAAAGAAAATGAGGTAAAAAAAGATAGAGAAAATGTTTTCTGCTTTCTAAAAAGCGGAAAAAAAATTTCCTCATTTTTTAAGGTATTTTTTTCATTGGTGGAAAATGTTTTTCATGACTAGTTATATTTTCCATAAAATGAACGTCAGAAAATCCAAAAAACGTTATCTTGAAAGTTATTTTTTTTGCAACAAACCGAGCTTAAGTCACCTGTGAACTTCGTAGATAAGCGGTATTATATTCGATACCTCTAATTACCATCACCAAGCGAGGAGATGGGTGATAAAGAAAACCTTATCCTCGTCATCATTATTGTCATTGCTTATCGGTTATTATGTCACTCGGAATCAATTATTATTCTTAGAATTTTTCGTAACAAAAGTCCAAATATCTACATTTTTGTGTCATAACTGAGTTCACCATGCATTGGAAAATGGCTTATAGGGGCATTACTTTCAAACAATTTAAAAGTTTTCATTTGCAAATCTTTCTGTTGGGGGACATTTCAAGGGTCTACCTCGATCTTCCTCGTGTCCTTTTGCGAAATGCGGAACCAATTGCCGACATCATTCTAAAACAAGTAAAGTGAAAGAGGCGTTGAATCGCACCCAAAAAACAAAAACAGGGGGGGGTGTCGGTTTGTGGGGTTGAATTGCACCGTGTTACGACATTTCTCACTTTACTTTGTTTATTAGTGGCAAAATCGACCGACCATGAGTAGACGCAACACTCCACAACAAATGAGATGAATCCCGGCAAAAGTATACTAAGGGCGTGAATGATAAATTTTATCTTCTCCGGCTTTATTTCTAGCTAAAAATAGAAAAATCTATTTATATTTCCCGAACGAGTTTCTGAGCAAAAAGTAGCGTTTGATAACAGTACAAAATTTCTGCTCTTGAAATAGAAATTCGTTTAGTAGGTTATTCTCAAATTTCTATTCCCGGCTGGCGGCGAGGGCGAGTACTAAAAGAGAGTTGTTATTTCTGTTTCTATTCCAAAAATGAGAAGTTGGAAATTTTAACTTCTCATTTCTATTCCAAATCTATTTCTTGGCTAAAAATTTGTCTCGGAAATAGAAAAATGAAATTATTTAACCAAACAGATTTCTATTCCAAACCTGTTCTCGGGAACAAAAAAATAGAAAAATAGAAAAACAAAATGGTTATCGTTTGCACCTTAAAAGTGCCAAAAATTTTATGTGGCACTCACTTTTTTTTTGGTAAGGAATGTGGCACTTACTTTAGTGCCACTGTTTAAAAAAAAGATCATTTAAGTGCTAAATTTGAATTGGATCGCCGGAAATCCAACATGACCATATTTTATTACTTTCTCCAACTGACGTGACTTGTTGGCGTGCCCAATCAGTATATAGAGCCTTAAACGATATTGTCTATAATGTTTGCCCCCAAAATATAAATCCTAAATCACAAATTGAAAGAAATTCCCCAATTCGAAACCCTAAATCGCCAATTCAATGAAACTCCCAAATCTCCGGCGAGGAGACGGGGATCAGATTTGAGTATGGAGATCACAGGAGCAACATTGTGGACTGGAATCGTCGAAGGAGGTAGTGCTGACCGGGGTTCGAGCACTTTAGCAATGGTGACCAAGAAATAGGGGAAAAGAGTGAACGAGAGGAATCACTCCGAGAGAGGAAATTCATGCTCAGCTCTGTGCGTGTAAGGGCGTGAATAAAATCATTTCTCTTCCCCGACCCCATTTCTCTTTTTCGGACGATTTTATGAGCAAAAAGTAGCGTTTGATAACAATACAAAATTTTTATTCCCACAACAAAAATTCAAATTTCTGTTCCCGTCGGCCGGCGAGCGGCGGCGGCGGATGGCCCGCGGGTGGCCGGCGGGTGGGCGACGGATGGTCGGTGAGCAGCGGCGGGCGGTGGCGGTTGGCCAACGAGCGGCGGCAGTGGGCGACGGCGGCAAACGGTTGGCGGGCGGAGGTGGCGGCGGAGGCCAGCGGCAAGTGGGCGGCGGGGGGCGGCAAGGGTGAGCAATAAAAGAAAGTTGTTATTTCTGTTTCTGTTCCAAAAATAGAAAAGTAGAAAAGTTTAACTCCTCATTTTTGTTCCATATTTATTTCCGGGACAAAATTTGTCCCGGGAATTAAAAAAAATGAAATTATTTTACCAAACGGATTTCTATTTCAAACTTGTTCTAGAGAACAAAAAAAAACAGAAAAAACAGGCAAATATAATGATTATTATTCGCGCCCTAAACGTGCTATGTTATGTGGTATAACCTATGGTGGTCGGCAATGGAGGATGAGCGGCGGCTACTGGTGATGAGAGATGGTGCGACTGAGAGGGGTTGAAGATGGAGAAGCCTCTGGAAATCGATTTTTCCGAAAGAGATTTTTCTGGCCATACAAAAATTTTCAAGTCCTTCCGTACCGATACTCTGTTTTCTGCTCTAAACATATGAGAGTTGCTGTGGCCGGTGATGGTGGACCAACGGTGGCTATTGGCGAAACGACAGTGACGGAGAAGGAAATCAATGGTGGATTGACGTCGTTTTTGCTCCTGGGAGTTGTGTGATGTTGTTTTAGGCCACGTCGGCTCATGTGACGCCGTTTTGCACGTCCATGTGGACTAGATTTTTAATAAAAATATATGAAGTCATATTAAAATTTTAATTATAACAGCCATGTAATCATTTTGATCGAAATTTCCGGACAGAGGCACTTAAGTGATCGTTTTTCTTTTTCTGATTTGGTACTTAAGTGAGCCAATGAAAACTTTTTGCACTAAAGTGCACGTTGTACGGAACTTTTGACATTTCTAGTGCCATTTTACCGATATATCTGCATTGGATATTACCCTAAAATATATATAAAAGCCCGGATGAAAAATTTGAAAATATTAATTTAACATGGACAAAGAAATTAACAAAAATGAGAAACTACAAGGAAAATAGAAAATTGCAACTTATTAAAAGCATAAATTTTGAATTGATATAGAACAATATCGGACGTGAAAAGATTGACCAATCCTGAATAAACGGACAATTAAAGTCTAATGAGAGTCGGTCTACACATGGCACATGGATCCGTCGTGAATTAAGAGGGATCATTAATCGCGTAAACTTGATTAGGGACCCGGGGAGAAGTCTCGATTTTCAGTAATTTTGTTTATACGATAATGTGGCATTACATGCATAGTATAAATAGTTGATGTGCGAAACCTTGGGGAGTGTTAGACGCAACCTAATACGGCTCGTGTTCAAATCATTTGATCCGGCGTAATGGAATTCGTTGCAAGAAATCTGGCTCGCTACGTTTCGGTGGCCTGAAAGCTCAGGAGTGCAACAGATAATATCAATGTCGTTGTCTTGCTGTCAACATCTGTACCGAACAGTTTCGTTTTTTCACGCGTACCATCATTGCACCCTGTATAATTGGTCCCAGAAGGGCGGAAAACATCCATATTACATAAATTTTGACAGAAATTGTCTAGATGTGATGGCGTACGGTACTGTACTGTCATTCATGTATAAAGTTGTCAACGATTCGGGTTGGATCGAGTATCCGCCCGTCCTGAACCGACCCGAACATGAAGATCGTATGTCCCTCGTGATGCTACCGTGGAGAACCTGAATCGATAAACGGGCCGGATCGGTTCGGCTCGGTCACGGCTTCGTTTCTCTTTCTCTGTTCTTGCCCACTTCACAGATAGTGGACGGTGATTCAACCCCCAATGATCATGGCAGATGAACAAGCACTTACCCAATTACCACCAGTACGCTAACAAATCATGTAGCTTTAAATCGATTGGGGGCAACGTTAAGTGGCTTCTCTTTCGAGC